GGCAAAACTAATTCTTCTCAAATACTCTAAGCCTCTGTCAGGTACACTCGAACACCTTGAAAGATGATTATATTTTACAGTTCCTGATGGGAAAAGCACTGCAGTACTGTCTTCATATAATCCTGAAGAGTTGAATTTAAAACTAAAGAACATAATTATTTGTGGTGACTGCCATCATTATCTTACCTTTTAAAGTATAATAAACTGAAATTATTCACCACCAGTGCCTCAGAAATTTTCTCTCAATTAGAATCATTCAGGAACATTTATTTTTGCCTGCATCTTCAGATTTTTGCTTCAATGCTCTTCTAATACAGAATTAGAATTAATTTTATGTTAGCATACCATGAAAAGATTTCTTACATGTTAGGTGTTATGCTTAGATATTTTTGTTTTAGTTTAAGAATCAACTATTCTTTCTGAAAATATCTTGTTAGTCTGAGCAGTAAATTTGTTAATGTAAGTTGTGCATATTGATCAGGATTATAGAAAGTAGCTTTCAAAATTTGTATTGATGTTTAGAATAAAGAAAGTGAGCTTGCAGGAAAAGTATTGCAGTTATAGGCCAAGTGGCAACCACATTAGATGTTTCTCATTTGAACCCTAAAACCTGCGTTTTTTTTCCTTTTTAAATGCATATTATAATGCCCACCGCCTTTTTTGGTCAATTGGTTAAGGTTGCTGTCATGTATTTTCCTGGGTTTCTTTTCCCATATTATCTCCTTCCATGAAACATTAAAGCAGATTCCAAATTCCTTCCATTATAACACTCCTTGCTGATGTTAGAGTAGACTTCACAATCACTACATTTGGGGAAAAAATGTTAATTTGTTGATGACTTATACAGTGCTACAAAGACTCATGAACTTAACCTGTTCTACAATTTTGGAAAATATGACACACGTTTGTATTTGTGTGGGAAAGATACCACAGTCTTGTTTCTCATCCAATGCAGAGTTTGCAAACAAATACAAAATTTTACCAAACACTTATGTTTCCAAACCAAATTATTTGCAAACAAAAATGTTCGTGAAGTGTAGCACCACTGTAGTTAGGCCTTAAATGGCTGCTAAAGTTGCCCAGAATTTTCTTTCTTGTTATTTCTTAAACAATAGCATGCAAACAACTGTTTTATAGTGTTTATTTTGGGTTGGGTATTATAAGTAACCTCGGGATTATTTCAGGTATATGGAAGGGTATGCTTAGGTGATATGCAAGTGCTATGGTAGGAAGTAGCTTTTTGTCCTCTAAGGGCCCACAGTCCTGTATTTCGTATTGTTCGTTATCTAAAAATAACTGTTTAATATGTTTCACTCAAGGTTCTAGTTGCGTGTATCTGAAGAAGAATTTTGTATCTTGTGACTCTTATCGTAACTGAAAGTAACAGTTCTCTCATTACTTACCATGGTGTTCAAATTATCTCTTATTTGGTGAGTAAGCTTTGCTGAAATCTAGCTCTCTGGAATTTTTTTCATAAGCCCTTTGTGTTTTCTTAGAACTCTCTTGATTTCTGGCACACACACACACACACACACACACTTGGTTCATCCCTACTGTCTTTTCCTGGATTCAGAATAGGGCATTTTCCCGAGAAGTGTTGGTTCTCAGCTCCTTGAGCTTGGCGATCCCCCATAGACCTGAGATGGACCTACACCCGAAGTAGGATGTGCCCAGGCTTTCTCATCTGCTTCCCCAAGTCTGCAGTACAAAGGGGAAAGAAAGAAGTGAACCTTAAAATCTGTCATGGTCAAGTCAAAAGCAAAAGGATGATTATCCGGAACTATGCAGCATTTCTTACAAACTTTCTTCCCCGAAGTAACCAGAATCATAGGGTTGCCAAGAGTGGAGATAGAGAAGACTGTGCAGTTGGAAAGTTTGGAGGGGAAGAGTCAGAGTTCACATTAAAAATACTAAGTTTCATATGCTTCTAAGATGTATTTTGAGGGTCTCAACTTTTGTAATTTGTCCTTTTATACGAAACAAAATTTCCCAACATAATGATTGCTATCTGATTTATGCAGTATTTTTAAAAATTAGTAGTACACATACAATTCCTTACAAGTGTTTTGTTGTTGTTGTTTTTGTTTTTTTTGAGACAGGGTCTCACTATGTAGTTGAGACTGACCTGGAACTCACTATGTAGCCCGGGCTGGTCTTGAACTCACAGCGATTCTCCTGCCTCAGCCTCTCCAGTGCTGGGATTACTGGCGTGTGCCATCACACCCGGCCCTTACAAGTTTTAATATCAGAATTACTTAAAGATCTATGGTGAACTCCTAATAGTTTTTTTTTTCAGACAAAACAGCCATGAAAAATAAAGTGGAAATATATAAATATTACTTGATAATTTTCCTTAACATTTACCAAAAAAAATATTTACTGTGCTGTATATTATTTCATGGTTATAAAACAGTATAGCAGTGAAATGTTCTCTATTAATGTAGATAAATTAGTTCAGTTAGTTTTCTGTAATATTTCAATATGCAGATGTTTTTCTTAATGCAGCTATTTTTATTTTATAATTGCAAGACCTATTGCTATCCTAAAATATTATCCATATTGATTTGTATAAGATACTGGAATATATAATGCTTCTGTCTGGAAATATATCCAGATTATTTTCTTGTCACATTTTAAAAGAATTGGGTTGCAGCTTGATTTAGTCACTTTGAAGAAAGTATCTGTAAAGCCTATTTTGTTTTTCCTCTCCAAACAAATTGTAATTGACAGAATCAATAAAAATGCCAACCTCTATAAAATGAAATAATCTAATAATTTCTTAGGTTCTCAACAGCCCTTTGACCACTAAGGCATCTGGTGGCCAACTTCACGTTTACTGGTCCTCGGAGGCATTTATTATATCCCGAGATATCCAACCTGATATCATCTCTCTTTAAAAATAACTCGGAAGACGGGAGATTTGAATTTAATTTGCACCTTTGTTTTTGCAAAACCTGCAAGTTGTTTAGCATCTATGATCTTCAGTTCTCTCATCTATGAATGAGAATTACTGTAAATAATGTCCATTTCTGTTTAGGTGGAAAATGTTTAATGTTATGATTTTGAGTGAAACTGTACAACTGAAACATTAAAGTCTTGTGTTGTACCCCCAGTCTACTAAAATGAACTGAGCACCTAGAAAAAAATTTAATCCCACACTACAAGGAAAAAAAATGTTAACAGTGAATCCAGAGAAAAAAGTTTTGTTAGGGGCTTAGAGGCACAATGCATAGTTGACACTTGGGTTCAATGGCTGTTAAATTAGGTAAGCTCAAACAAGCAAGCCAGCAACAGCCAAGCTGCCACGGAGTGGCAAGATTCCTTCAGATTTCCTCCCCCGGGGTTTCTGTGTTTCGCTCTGTTGATCTTTTACCACTGTCCTTCTGCCCGTCTACTGTCTGGAAATTGAGACCCATCCAGAACTTGAGCTTCTATATGAGATTGTGTTAGCTTTTTGGTACTAGAACAAATACTTAAGATAGTCAACTTATAAAACGAAAAAGGCTATATTTAGGCTCACAGTTTTGAAGTGGTCAGTCCATTATCAGCTGACCCCAATGTTTTTAAGCCCGTAGTGAGGCAGTGCATCCTGGGGAAAGGCACGGTAGAGCAAAACTGCATACCCAATAGCCAGAAGTGATAAAGAAGGAAGAGGAAGGGCTTAGGGTCTCACAATCCCCTAAAAAAGCTTGTTTCCAGTGACCTAAGCACCTCCCACTAGGCCCAGAGTCTCTCCTTGTTGTACATTCCTGGGAACCAAGCCTTTCAAATAAGAGTTTTTGGAGATCCAAACAACAGCACAGTTTTATCAGAAGGAATTTCCAGAATACCTTACAATAAATTTCTGGACTATAACCTCGTATCTCTAATCTACACCAACCCTCAACCGCCAGGAATCTTGCCTCCAGCTGTGGAAGCTACCACCCTAGAAATAAAGAAAGGAGTGGTATTAGCTGCTCTTCTCCCTGACGACTGGAGAAAACAAGAAGGAGAATAATTTCTGATATATGATATCGGAGATCAAAGGTGAAGCCAGTGTCCATGCTGGATTTCTGAACAGCTTTTTTTCTGAAATACTATTATTATAATGGTTATACTCTTTCTGTAATGTTCGAGGGATATAGTTATAATACCTGGACAGTGGATAATGAGCTGTTTTATTACTTCCAAACCACTTTTTTCCATGCAACACTTGTTTAACTAGTATTTACTTATCGACGACTAAGGACCAGACTCAGTCCTTGGCAGTGTTATGCGGTAGTCTCCTGAATTGCTTTAATTTGTCTAGGATTTTTCTTTTTCTGTCTTTAGACAGAGAAACTGAAGCTCATGGGGTAGCAATAAAATCCAAGTTAGATAACTAATACACACCAGCCCCAGAAATCAAATTCAAGTCAGCAGAGGCATTGGTCTTTCCATTATGTTGTCTGAAGAAGTATCTGGGGTTGGCATTGCTTTGCAGGGAAATTATTTCTAAAACTCCAAACAGTGACAAATAATCATGCACTTAAGAGAAACATGTGTTGAAAAGTCTTATATTCATTAAATATGCTTGACCCTACTTCTGGGCGTAGTATATATGTTTGGCTTCTAATAAATGAATGAATGAATAAATGTGTGAATGGATGCTAACAGAAGAAACTTCCAGATACTCTGTAAATCATAAGCAGTTATCACTTTAAAGATTTTATTTCAGGGAAGGCTTCACTTTGACTCATATATAATTTGTACCCCTTAAATGCAGTTTGGGGAGTCCTGGGGTACTTTGCTAAACCAGTAAAATGATTTTCTTACACTTGTGAATGATCCTTGCAAGAGATCTAGAGGCCAGGAGTCTAGAGTGGATGAGAAGACAGAAATAGGGGTCAGGAACCTTAAATTCTTAAGAATGCTGTGACCCTTTATATATTAGAGTGACTCTGTTCTGGATGCCTTTCGACCTCATGGAATGTGCCCAGAATATTTCTTCATTGTGTTTTGGTTTGTGTTTTTTTATTTAGGTCACTGCCCGCCGGGCCATCGGGTATGTCAGAATGGCAGATGCTACAGACCGGAACTAAGCTGTAATTTCGTAGATGACTGTGGAGATAATACTGATGAAAACGAGTGTGGTGGCTCCTGCACTTTTGAGAAAGGCTGGTGTGGCTGGCAGAACTCCCTGGCTGAGAACTTTGATTGGATTTGGGGGATTGGCTCTCATCAAAGCCTGAGGCCCCCCAGTGACCACACCCTAGGAAAGGAGCATGGTGGGTAATCACGTCGCCACAGCTGCCCTAATCGTGGTCGCAGAAGCGCATCTCATTGTGTTCCCTGACAGCCACTGCAGAGAGCACCACTGCCACCACAAGTCAACCAAACCTTTAGTGAGTGTCTGTTTCCCAGGGCTGCTGTTACAAAGGGTCATAGTTTAGGTGGCTGGCAAGAAAACAAAACCGAACCAATTCTGAAGGCTGAAAACCTAGGATCAAGGTGCTGGGAGGTTACTTCCTCCTGTGAAAGTGAGCTGTCTCTTGTCTCTTCCACACCTCTCTCCTGTGCTCTAGTTGCCTCAGGTATCCTTGACTTGTAGGCAGTGGTGCCCTCTGTGTCTGCCCGTTGTCTTCTATGTATGTAGGTCTTTTCTCTGCCCACTCCTCCTTTTTCTTAGGATACATCATATTGGATTAGAGTTCATGCTAATGATCTCATCTTCACTGAAAAAAGAGACTCTAATACCAAATAAGGTCACATTCATATGGCCCAAGCAGTGGGACTTGATGCTGTTCAACCCAACGCAATAAACATGAAAATCTGATACCAACACCTATGTTGATAATTATAGTTGGACAGCAATGCAGGCTGCCATTAGATCCCTCTCCTAAGGCACACATTTATTTATAACCAGTAACCTTGTCTGACACTCATTTGATCATTACTGCATCGTTGAACTTAGCATCTCAGATTTCTCATTTGTCCCTTGGAGATCATAAAATTTACCCTGTGTACCCAACAGGGTTGCAGAGACAAGTGAAATGATACATATGAAGGGAAAGGAGATTGAAATCTGTTGTGGTGCTGTGAAAATGTAACTGTAAAACAGCATATTTTAGGAATATTGTGCATGGACTGTTTTTGTAATAAGCGGCCTCAAACTCACTGATTCGGGAACAAAAATAATAAACAGTATGAAGCAGAGACCTTGAATTCCTGGGTGTTGGGAAATTGGAAAAAGATATCTAAATATTGAAATCCCACAGTCCTATAATACAAATCTGATCAAGCCAAGCACGCCAAGCCAGTGAGTGGGAGCCCTGAATCTCATTCAAACGCTCAGCTGTGCATTCTTGAAAGATCTTAAAAATTCATACTCACAGAATAAAAGTCAATGTGATTCTTCTCACTTTTCATGGTAAAATATTGTCTTATTTACACTCAATGGGCCACTGAGTATTCAAAGGCACATCATGTTCCTTTATTTAGATTTCATAGGGAATCTTTGAAATTGTTTTACAGTACCCTGCTAGTTTAGGGAGTGCATTAAATGATTTCTGTAACTATGTTGTTGATTTGATAGCATAAATATCCTGTCAGATCAGTTCATCTGCATATTGTGAAGCATTTTGCTAAAAGCACAGACAGTTGAAAATCGTTCTGTCAGTAAACTAGAGACAAGGCTATTAGATTTACTCTCTGTTTCAAATGAAAATGCCTCAGGCAGCTCAGATCAAATGAAATGTAATAAAAAACCCTAACTCTGAAGGGACAGCTGAAATAATCCCCTCATTGTCATTTCAGTCTTATGTGAATCCCACCCTCTCTCCTAGGGCACTTCATGTATCTGGAGGCTACTCCTGTGGGCCTGCAGGGTGACAAAGCCCACTTCAAGAGCACCAGGTGGCAGGAATCCAGCGCCACCTGCACCATGAGCTTCTGGTATTTCATATCTGCAAAAGCCACAGGGTCCATTGGGATTCTCATTAAGGTAAGATCTTGGCTCCGATGCCTCTGAGCTTAGAGTGGACTCCTGCTGACAGCACAGAACCCCAAGCAGTTCATAACAGGCCTTTTGGCTCTGCTCAGGAAAGCCTCACTTCCGCCTGCTGACCTGCTCTGAGCATGAGAGCCAGTTCTGAGTTCCATTGTCCTGTGATTATGGCCGAGTCCCCCAGACTTCCTTTATCCTAGCAGTCAGTCCAATTCTTTTGAGTAGTTGTTTTCTTCCTTATCGTTTTCAAAAGAAAGTAGATTACTCGTACATTTGAAAGGAGGGCAACTATGCCTTGTTTTCTCATATATGAACAATCACTGAGGAAACTAATTGTAGATACTCTGGTTCCAAGCACACTGTGCCCAGGATTGAACTACTCAAGAGCGTGCTCAAGGTACGATTACACCGAACCGGTCATTAACGGTGACATGCCACCATATCCTCTTACAGAGACTTAATTGGATGTTTCCTTCAGAGCTGTAATTTAGTATAAGAAAGTGGCAATGTTTAGGGAACAAAATAACCAAGTAAATCTGAATACTATTAGTGAGACCGGTTCAAACACCTTTACTCGTTAGCAAGTTAAAACAGGCAACGAAAAGGAAGGGTCTGTGTGTGTCTGTGTGTCTGTCTGTCTGTGTGGGTTTATTTCAAGCATCGAGTTAGAATTCCAAGAAAGCTTTCTTTAAAATATGCTCCAGTGGCCGCTGCTGTTTAATCACACATGAGCACTGCCGAAAGTGTCCCGGTGCTGATGGAGAACACCCAAGCCAAAGGTAAAGAGCTCATCTGCCTGAATAGCTTGTGGCTACTTCCTGATTTATTAGAAACCTGAAATGACTTCATCACTTAGGACTCTTCTGTAATGATGCAGAGAAATAGTAATATGCATGCCGGAAAAAAACAAACAAACGGTAATTTAGTCAACTGTGTGAATTTGGCAACTGCCCGAAATACAAGGCTTAAAGTTCTCAGGGGAGTATTTCAGTAGCACTCTTTTAAATCTGATGCTTGATTCTATGGTTCACACCATGTGAGGACTTTGATTCTGGTCTGTGGAATTTGTTTTTGTTACTGCTAAGCTCCTTTGAGATAATAATCTTCTTATCAAATCATTCCTCCAGTTGATTCCTATGGAAATCGCACAGCATTCTGAGACAACTTTCTACTTTATTAAAACAAAACTACACACACACACACACACACACACACACACACACACACACACATTTTAAAAGTATAAGCCTGTTCTTGGAAGTAGGGGTATGGCACTTCCCTAAGTATGCACAAGACCCTAGGCTTGATTCCCCCATCACTAAATAAAATAGTACCTATTCTTACATAGTCACATGGATCATGGAGGAGAGGAATCTTTCGTGAGGTGTATTGAGATTATATTCATGAATTGAAGGCAATCGTTTCATTTTGGTGAGCGTTACAATACACTTTTGATTATGGTCACAAAAGCACTTCATTTTCTCTCTGTGTGAAACCCTTCTAGATGTTAGCTTGCTCATGAGTTTGAAAGTATCCTAGTCCTATGGCAGACTCAATAGGACTAGACTTGTTCCCTCCCTTCCTCCCTCCCTCCGTTTCTGTTGTGCTTTCCTTCCTCATCATCCCTTAAATTATTCCACTTTGCCCCTGTGTTCCTTCTGGTTCAGTCTCCCCTGCCCTCTCCCTGTCTTCTCTCACACTGAGCCTAGCACAGTCTGGAAGATCCAGCCTTTTGCTAAAAGTTCCTTGGCCACTCTTACCTTCCATGACGTTGCCTCTTCTGAGTGTCTTTCAAGACTCTAAGAATGATTCCTGCTCACTGGCTGGTAGTTGGTGTTTATTCTAATCCAACAAATAGACTAAACTCTTGAGAGCTAGGCATTGAGTTTTAGCCTTTACAAGTTTCTCAGACCCTCAGAGAAGGGAATGTTGGATGGAACATGAGGATGTGGTGTCTCCCCAGAGAGCCTTAAGGGTAACCTTTGTGAAGGAATGGATGTACTGACACACGTGCATGCCATAAAATCGAACCTGAAGAATTTGTATTCTATATCTGAATTATATACATGCAGTCAGACATAACGGCATGCAAACATTGAACAGCAATTTCCTGGTGGCGCGTTCTCCATGGGGTAGTACTGAAGACGGTTCCCAGCAACAGTAATACTTACTAGCAGGTAAAGTTTATTGAGCATCAACGCTTGTATTGCTTCAGGTAATTCTTAGCACAACCCTCTAACGTAAGCTCTGTGAGTTTCGTTTTATGAAAGGGGTAGTCTCCTAGAAATGCTGGATCACGGTATGATACACCCTGTGAGGACAGAGGTGAGATTTAAATCCTACAAAACCATATACTCACTCCCCCTCCAGCAGGTCCAAGTGCTCTGCACTGACTGTAGTAACAGAATAGAGACTGCGTCACCTGACATCTGTGTATGTTGCAGGATTTTTTTTAGAAAAACAAAATGAATAATTGTTGCTAGAATAGAGATAAAGGATTAACATAGTTAACTGTATCCACCTGAGTAAGAAATGCCCAACTAAACTGGATCAACTAAATTGGATAGTTGTGGGCGTAGCTAAAGAAGTTTACTGAAGACAGAAGACCCGCCCTGGGTATGAGTGGTACCAACCGACAGGCTCGTAGCCTGAATGGGATAAAAGCGAAACGAAGGAAGGCTCGCTTCTGTTTCTTTGGAGGAGCTCTAGCCTCACCTTCACCGTGGACACAAGTCTCCTGGCTTCCAGTGCCGACCCATCAGCCTCCTGATTCCGACGTGTGTGGGGCACTACAGCGAGCTGCAGGCTTTTGACCTTTGACTGGATCTTTCCAGTCTCCAACACACACAGCCTATTTACACTCTTCCAAACCTGATTGCACAAAGAGCCATTGTAAAGTTTTGACCTTGTAAATTACTTATATATTTCTATACTTTATATTAAATCTGTTTCTCTAGTGAGCACTAACTGCTAGAAATTTTGCTACTGGGAGTTTCCCTAGAGAAACAGAATTTTAAAGATGAAATTCTTTAATAGCTTTAGTAATTCCTGGAGTTGGTGCTCTAATTTGATGAGACTTAAAGATGTTCTTCTGGTACGGTGGGGAATAATGATAGTCCTTGGTATGAACTGTCTAAAGTAATACTCACTGTAGATCTATTTGATAATCCAAATCTACTACTAGTGAGTTGCAAGGAATCCAGCCACTCCATTTATTACAATTTTGAGTATTTTTGGCAGAGTAGGAAATACTATAATGATGGGGGCTGGTTGTTCGTAACATCTCTGGACAAACCAGTATAGGAAAATAATGAGCTCCAAACATGCAGAGGAAATCTAACAGCTTCTTACTGTGAGGACAAATTAATAAACGACAATAAGGAGCTCAAAGATTCAAATTCCCAGCTCCAGAAACACATAAAGAATGTAAAAGTTTGTAAATGTGTCTAGAAAGAGAATCTCATCTCCTTTAGTTATTCAGCTGAGACTGCAAAGAATTGGACCCAGGCCCTTATAATTCAGGTGGCTGAATTATAGCATAAGTTTAATGCTTAGCCTTGAAGGATATCTGAAGTAAAGGTGAAGGCACTGATCTAAAAACAAACAAACAAACAAACAAACAAAAATAGGATCCCATAAATTGTGATGCTGATGTTTGGGAAGATCCTGATAGGGCTGAGGATATTAGCTTCTAAACTCTAATGAGATTATTTTGTCAGAGGAAGAAGACTAGGGCCTGATTTACTGATGGTTCTGCATTGTTCAGGCACTACCCACAGGTAGACAGCCGCAGCATCCCAGCCCCTTGCCAGGACATCCCTGAAGGACAGTGTTGAAGGGAAATCTTCATAGTGGGCAGAACTTCTGGCGGTGCACCTGGTAGTACATTTTACCTGGAAGGAAAAATGGCCCAATGTACCATATAGTGATTCATGGGCTGTAGCCAGTAATCTGACCCAATGGTCAGGAATTGGAAGGAATGTGACCAGAAAATTGGTGAGAAAGCTATTTGAGGAATAAGTATGTGGACAGACCTCTCCATTTGGTCAAGGGAACTAAAAAACGTTTGTTTCCCATCTAAACACTCACCAGAAAGTGGCCTCAGCAAAAGAGGACTTTAATAATCAGATGGATAGGACTGGCCTGTTCTGTACAGAACAGTCAAGCTCTTTGTTCAGCCATCCCTGTCATTGTCTAATAGGCTTATGAACAGAGTGGCCGTGGTGGCAGAGAGGGACGGTAAGTATGGGCTCAGAAACATGGGCTCATACTCACCAAGGCTGATCTGGTTATGGCCTCTGCTGTATGCCTGATATGGTGCATCAAAGACTAAAATTGATTCCCTGATAGGGCACCATGCCCCAGAGTGATCAGCCTGCACCCTGGTGTCAGGGTGATTATTTTGGACCACTTCCATCATGTAAAGGACAGTGCCTGGCCCTGACTGGCGTAGACACTTTTATTCTGAGTATGGATTTGCCTTTCCCACATGTAGTGCTTCTGCCAAAATTACCATCCATGGACCCACAGAACGCCCCATCTCCCATCGTGGAAATCCACACCGCATTGTCTCTGGCCAAGGGACACATTTCATTGCCTAAGAAGTGTAGCAGTGGGCTCATGCTCATGTAATTCACTGCTCTTACCATGCTCCTCACCAACCAGCAGTGGGTGGATGGATAGAAAGGTGGCATGATCTTTTGAAGATGCAGTTACAGGACCAACTAGGTGGCAGTAGGTTGCAGGGCTGGGGCAGGGTTCATCAAAAGGCTGTATGTGCTTTGAATCAGCATCCACTCTATGGTGCTGTGCCTCCCATAACCATGGTTCACAGGTCCAGGAATCAGGGGGTAGAAGTGGGAGTGACACCACTGACCATTACCCCTAGTGATCCGGTAGCAGAATTTTTGCTTCCTGTTCCCAAAAACTTCTGCTCTGTTGGCCTAGAGGCCTTAGTTCCAGAGAGGGAAAGGCTTGTACCAGGAAGCACAACCATT